TAAGCATCAGGTGATAGGTTCGTTCTAGACTGCTTTGCTGCTTTCCATAGTTCATTGTTGCTTATCCTTTCTGGCCAGGTGATCTCTAGTAGTCTGTTAGAAATACTTTCCATGGCTATTGCGCCACGTTTCAGAACCATATAGAAACACTAATTAACTTGACATGACATTGTTGTTGGAAATCCGGATATTATTTCTTAAACTGAGTGCAGCAGATTCCCACACTGATTACAATCAGAGTAGTGAATGCCTGTTTCGCCTTTCCGATCTTCACTGGCTTTCATGTCCTCATTTGTTCTACCTGCAGCTCAAACGATGCTTCTTAGATGAGTGAAAGAGATTGTGGTGAGAGCTGTCTACTAGCCAAATTGGTACACAGTAATTTACGTCAATGTTTACGTTCTCAAGATTTGTCGTGAGAAAATATGAACAAAGACTGATTCAACAGCCAACCACAGCAGACTTCGCGTAGGCGGATACAGTTAACATATAGATGATCTGAGATTCAAGAAACAGTCACAAAGAGATGAAAGATTAACTTTAAGTGAGAAACAACCAATCGGAAGACTGTGTTTGTTTGCTTAACTAAACTATAATAATGTACATGAAAATATATAAATATGTGTTGATTTCCTTAATAAACGATCTGTCGCCTGGCCCTTGTCTTCTGTTGTTACAAGATGACTTCCTTAGATTCATACCGTTGATGGTGAATAGTGTTTTTGTTGCTAGTTAGTTACCTACATTACCTCTATCATCTCTATGTTCACTTGAAATTCGCCCTTCATTGCCTTTTCAGCTATAGGGCAGGTGACATTTGAGTGTGTTTGACACTAGACAGAAATCATCCATGAAGTGCAAATCTTCACAGTGTCTTCTTATCGGTCTCATATATACACAAATGCATAAATACTCTTTTATATTTTCAAATGTGGGTTAACAGTTGTTTGATTGATGAGTAAATTACACCACGAAGTGACTCACATCAGTTAGAGAATCATTGAAAACAATCAGGGAGTACTGGATAGATTTTTCATCCCAGTTTAAGACTACTCAGCAGTACGCATTCATGACCCAGAACGTGCAAATTTACAGGCGAGCCACTAGGATGAAATCCAATGGCACATGAATGGTAACTTCTGCCATCGCCGGACAATATCATCAGTGAATACCTGTCCTCGCACCGAACTTGGTGGACCCCATTTAAAAATAATTTTTAAATTCTTATTGTTTGAGATCTTTTCTTCCTCCCGTACTGGCTATATTTTCCTATACACCTTATTATTTCCTGAATGATTTGTGTCACTTATAGAGCAACGACTATTCTATTCGATGTAGGATAGATTTTGGGAAAATTCCCATCTTCTAATTATATCCCACGGATCGGTGAAGTTCAGGTCAGTGCAGTTCTTAACTGTAATCCCCTTGCAATACTTGACCCTCCAAAGATGAGATAATTTTCACGAAATATCAGTGCGGTTTTAGCTGAAATAGAAGTGATAAGTTGTGTTCAACGAATGAACAGATAAATACGTCAGTTTAGAAATCTAAACCAAATTTTCAACTTCCCACGTATTTTCAATAGAAATGATATTTGAAAAAACAAAAAAATAGTATTGTCCCATAGGTCAAGAAACAAGTGACGGAGGAAAATCTCATAGATAACTATTAGTTAGTTGAAAGAACTTTTGACTCTTCAAATAGACTAGTCAGTTTATGTAGATAGGTTTAATCATTTTCCACTGAATTGAACTCGTATAAGATTAGTCGATCATGCGGAATATGTGGGTGTATCTTGTGAATGTTAATCAGATGAATTCGAAAAAAGGACAGAAAAGAACGACGCAAATTTCTACAGAGTAAGTAATACGGGTTGATGTGAATGGTATCCAACTACTTATATGAATCAGTCAATCAGTAGTATATAGCATAATATGTTCATGAACACGGGTGCATTGATCAAATCTTCACCCTTTGACAGATTGTGTAACAAATGCGTATTTACCTGCAACAATAATGGTTAGACTATCTGAACCTCCTCGCCTACTTTTACAGTAACATATTAATCCTTTTTTCTCGTTTCATTGCGTTCCAAGTAGAACATTGGGGGTTCAGGCTTCTGAATTTTCAGTAGAAGAGATGTTCTTAGGGCCAGGGGATTTCTAGCCCAATGCATAACCTCTCCTCGTTTCCTGACCTACTACTGACTAACAAGCTGGATGATGTTTCTCTTAGCAGTGAGTGGTTGGTAAGCATCTTGCCATAGAAAATCAAATACTCCTATGACCAGAATAAAAGAAAACTCGAATTGTCGTGTTCACATTATATAAACCAAATATTTTAACGCCTAATTCATGACTTCATTGAGCCTATTAGTCATTCAACTATTTTGTCTTGCAGTTGACTTTATCATTATTATTATAATTATTTACTTTAAGAGAAGATCTATATACACATATATCATTGAGAGAGAGAGAATTCACAGAATTATTCTATTTGCATTATTTTTCTTATACATTTCTTTAACTCCTTTTTTATTTATACACTCCTCTTAGATGTAATTAAAACACGCTTTAAAAAAAAGTAGATCACTGAACATTTATAATTAGGTTTAGAGAAAAGTGAAGACCTTTACTTAAAGGACAGTAATTCATGAAAAATTATTAATTATTATATGAACATCTGTACTGTTATCTGTGCTTTGAAGATAGAAAGAAAAAGAGACTAATAGATGCTCTGGATGCCCACCCGAAACAAGATAAATTCAGAAAAAGCAATTCATATGCGGATTAAATTGAAATGTTATGCATCATTCTCGAGCAGAATACTGAATGACAGTCAAATGTCTGTCACAACTTCATCGACTTTAAAATGACGTTCGACAGTGTTGACCGTGAAGTAATTTAGAAGCTGCCTCAACACCACAAAGTGCAACACCCCAAACCTTTATCAACCTTATTCGATAGCTATATGATGATACCATATGTCAAATGATTCATAACGGAATACGCTGAACCGACAAGAAGACTCCAGAAGATATGGACTTTGAGGAGAAAACCTAACATAACACAAAATGAAAGATGTACGGGAGGAAACCAACAGATTGGTAGTAGAAGTATCAGAGAGAGAACCTCCAGTAAACATAGGGAAAATAGAGTTGACGAAAATACCTAACCGACAACAACAGCAACAACAAGCACCAATCATTATCAATGGAAATCACCTCTTTCACTTACTTAGAAATTGTTATTTCAACTACGAATGGTACAAATGAGTATGTCAAAGCCACCTAGGATCGGAAAAGGAAGACAGACTTTCATTAATCTCAAATCAGTGTGAAAACCTGCTGTACTTATTCAGAATAAGGAACAAGATTATGATTTTCAATACTGATGTCAATTTTGTTCTTCTAAATTGTTTAGAGACTTCGAAAATCACTGTAGACTTTTATCAGCAGCTACTTTCGCTCGATAACACTAAAGATCAGATGACCAGCCAAAAAGGATAAGCAACAAGGAAATCCGGCAGCTGACGAATCAACCTCAAACCTATCACTCAACAAAAATGCAGAAGGAAAGGGAAGTGCATCGACCAGACATACCGCTGAGGAAACCGTTGAGTGACATCACACCAGACAGACGTTTTGACTGCAGCCTAAACAGGAAGTAGCACGGTTGACGTCACTTCGATGATGATATGGGAGAGATCGAATGAGGAGGAGGAGAGATCTTATGGGCAATCGTAGAACCAACTAAAAAGGATTGCAGCTAACAGGATGAAATGGAGATTTGCTGCTGCACAATATTCCACCCGGAATCAAAGATAATCATAATTACAAACCGTATTCGAGAAAATACCAGCCCCAATCATAATTTAGGGCGTGATGTACAGTCTGTCCGTCTGTCTGTTTTCAACATAGAACTTTGCACCGATGTGCAGCAGTTCGAGTCGCCAAACTCCATATAACACACAAAGCAAGAGAAGAAAGTAGAAGAAATGCATAATATAGACAGTAAACAGAGGTGTGAAACAAAGGAATAGCATAATAATAATAATAATAATAATAATAATAATAATAATAATAATAATAATAATAGAGAAAGTACACAGAGATACAAAGCGAAAAGAATAGTAATATCGAAGGACAATATAGTTTTGTTGAAAATTATAAGTCACAAGGAGTGGATGCATCTGTGCCAGCCATTGAGAACGATTTTGAGCCATATCACCAATTGTCTCCAGCCTTCATTGGATTTTACCGTCCCGAGGACCCCAACCAGGAAGTCTACACCTTCCTACGTCGCTTAGACTAGCTGTTGTGGATTTCATTGACTGATGAGGCCATGTTTTGGTTTGACCACCACTGGCTCTTTTCCAGCCTGACCCTATGTCAGCTAACATTACCCATCGAGGGAGGCGATGGTTAGACATGCATAACACATGCCCTAACCATCTCAATCGATATAACTTCACAGCCCCGTCTATTGATTTCCCCTCCCACGTACCTAGCACTCGACGCCTAACCTCAATATTGCTCATCCTACAATAACATTTCACACGGAGGATAGAACTCAGGCACCTATAATCAAAGACAGTGGTGTACAGTAACACGCTCCAAAAATGGCTTCAATTTTTAATCAGTTCCTTTACTCATGATAAATCTAAAACCGAATTCACTACACAAAATCCATGAGACTTGGGAAATCTTCCTAGAATTCTATGCGTATTTATTGTTGAAAACAAGATTTGGTAGATTCGAGTCTCGGTGGTTATAGATACACGTCTAGCTGGAGAGCACCGTAAAGAAGTAAACAGGCGTTCTGGATTTTGTCGTCAGCCACGACCACCAACTTAACAACATCAGGTTAACCAAAAGGTATTGTTAAAATTTGCGCATACACGGAGCCACGACATGCTAACAGAGACTGAGCACTTCAGTCAATTAAAGAGAAAGCTGAAAAGTATTATCAAATAAATAATGATTCTAATCACAGACTTACTGGCAGCTTCTAGTTGTCTAGCGGCAGCTGCACGAGTTCTTGTTGCGCCTTGTGAATAAGATAATTTAGAGAAATAGTCTTCTTGATCAATACGTAGGCAAGAACAACGTCGATGAACTACACCAACATTTTTCTGTGATTTCGGAGAGATGGATGCAGCATTATTTTGTGTTGATCGACCATAAGTACTTACATGACTGGCATTGTTATTTCGATGTCCATTTGAAACTGGTTGAGATTGTTGTGTAGATGAGCGTGTTGTTCCCCCTATAGTACTTTCTGTCATAATTGTACTCATTGAATTATTTCCACAAAATTGTTGACATGACGTATTCAATTGTGTATGATTACAGTTGTTTGATGTGAAGAGGTAAACATCTGATTTTGTATTAGTTGTAGTATGGTGATGAAAATTTGATCGTGAACAATGATGACCATTACTGCCGCATGTTGTCATACGAGTGCAGTTATTATTAGTGGTCATAGAAGTAGTACCAGCTGCAGTTGCGGTAGACATGGAGCCACCAATGGATGAAGACTTAGCACTTCTTGACTCTTTAACTCCACTAACATTACCAGAAGAACCCGAAGCTGCTGCTTGTGCTGCCGCTGCGGCTTGCTGTTTGGCCTCACGACGACGTGCTCGTTTAGTTATCTCTTTCATATGCTTTGGTCCTGGACCTTTTTTACTATCGAGGACCTGAAAATTAATAAAATACAGTAATAACAACAATGTTTACACACACACACACAAACCAGACATCACATGAAAGACACAGGAGATAGTTATATAGAAACAGAAAAAGAATAATTAGATGGCATGTTGTGTAATTGGCTATTGATTTTAGATAATACGTATATCTGAATGTATGCGTGTTCTAGTAGTCGTGGTATGAGTAGTTTACGACTTTATGCATTCAATTCACTAATCTGATCCAAATGGGAATATGAATAATCAGAGAGCGTTCCATTCTACTAACAGCCCAATACGCAAATCTCGAGAAAAGTGTTTAACTGAATGGTTACTAGTATTTTTATTATTAATACAACTGAAAGTGACGACGGCTTCTCCTTAGGTAACCACGAGAACTCTTAGTAACCATTGAAATCAATGAGCTGGAATAACTCAGTGGTGAAGTCCCTGACAGTTAGAGGATCTTGAGGAGCCCACCACAGAAAGTAATTCAGTTTATCTAATACCCTGTATTGATTGTGAAGTAAAATACATAGGTCAAGGTATAACTCCATTATGGATAAGATTTTATTTTAATAAATCAAATCTATATGATAAATCATATCCATATGATTATGAGCAATAATTTGTGCTCGAAACGTCGTTAGTTTATATTACTGTACAACACTGTGTGATTTATCAAAACAAAATCTTATCTATTATAAAGTTATACTCTACCACAGTGCCCAAGTTTTATATTTATAGATCCAGAGTCAGTAAGAAAAATCTGGACTGGTAGACCCGAATAAGACAACTAATCCAGGAGAAAATAAGTTCAGCTATAGCGCTGCATGCAGTTACACAAACCATAACAGTAAGATGGAACAAGGGTGGAAGTCATGATCAGCGACGTCTACCAAGTGGAATGTAAGGACAAATTTCGGCCGATGACATCGGCAGGCAGTTGCGCCTAAAACTGCGAATTGACAGAAGTCAGAATTCATGGACCAGTCATTGGCTACCATCCCAGTGGCTGAATGGCTAATGTCTTGTAACCTGAAGGTCCTATGCACAATCAAATAAACTATAATTATTATTTCAGTGGTTTACACACAATGATAAGTTTTGTTATTGGTAATATTTCGAGCAAAATTACTGCCCGTGTTCACACCACTGTTGGAATTGTTTTGTTTTTTAATTCCTAAGTACAATCCCTAACCATGGGGTCATGGGTGATACTGAAGAGTCCCAGACAAGGGCGAAACGGTCAACCAGTACCCCATGGTGGTTCTCTAACTGATGCCAGTCAGTTTGTGATCATTCTTGAAATCTGTCCCAAATCCCTGCAAACCAATACTTGAAAGGTGAAAGCTTTAAAAACCTTAAATAACAAGGTGAAGAGAGAGAGAGAGAGTTTGATAAACTATACAATAAAACCAAGTTTCGAAGTTGTGTAGTTACAATCGATTATTATGATGATGAAGAATGAAACGTGTTGGAAACTTTATTAGTTAGTAAATAACACTGTTTCGCTGTATGTGATAAGACATCTCAGAACTGAAATATGAAAGGAAACATAAGAAACAGCCTACTGAAAGTTAAAAGTACACGTTAATCCACCCACTCTCATGCTGATAGCAATGATAACATATACACCAAATCGCATGAAAAACATCAACAGCCTAATAAACTATGATATCTGTATGATAATTGATAAGTCCCTTGAATACATTGAGGGACTTATAAGTTAAAGAAAATAAGCCTTCTGCTTATTAATTATTGACACTAATCACTAGTGTATTTGATGTGATTCGTAAAGTGATCGACTGATTTAAATGATGAACAAAAGTAATAAACAGAAACTATTGTCAATTAAAGACAACAAAAGAGAAATAAAGAATCGGTTCAAAAACCTGTGGGTGGATGAGTTTTCAATCAATCAAAATAACTGTGAACAGTTAAAAAAATATTGTCACAATGGACAACTGTAGTTAATCAGTGTGAAATGGCTAGCTGTCTTTCATCATAGATGTTTGAGTTGTATGCTATGATGAGTAATATTGAGAATGGTAAGTCAACGGATGAAGTTGTGAAGTTAAATCAATTGAGATGGCTAGGACATGTTTTTCACCTGCCAAGTAACTGTCTTTGTCAATGAATAGTGTCAGCCGACATAATATTAAGTTGGAAAAGAGTAAATGGTGGTCGAACCAAAACCTGATATCGTCCCATCAAGTCTCTGACTATTGATTTGAGTCAGGTAGGTAAGTGTAAGCTGTCTGGGTGGGGTCCTCGGGATTCTAAGAAGCAATAGTTGGAGGCTATTGGCGATATGACTCAGAATCACCCTCAATGCTGCAGATTTATTCACTCTCATGTTTCTTTCACACATTTACGTATATTACTGTTCTGTCGAATCTCTTTTGCTTCCTTTTGTGTGGTACATAGAGTGTGGTAAGTTGAACTTCTGTGCAGTCAGATTATGAATCAGGTTATATATGTGTGTAATGTTGATAGTTTCCTAAGATAAGAATGAAATAGACAGCCATAAGGATCCTAACGAATATCAAATATGATAAGAAGAAAGTAGAGATGAATTTGTTGGACATACTTTGAGACTTTCAAATGACACCTCCTAGGAATCTAGATAGAAAGCGACAAGTTGGGCGTTGGCCAGAGGATGATATGTAGATGATGTGACGAGGAAATGGAAGATCGTGCGTAATCGAGGAAAGCTGGTTGAAAGTGATGTCAGAGAATTGACTGCACAATGGATACGTACATATGTGAAGCCTTAGGTTCCACTCAGAACACAAGGAATGAAGAGATAATATAAGAGTAACAAGCATGTTTGAGTTTTCTGGTGAAATCTTTTTACCAGTGGCTAGTTCAAAATACCATTTAAATTATGATGAAACCAGGATTGAGATGACAAGACACATCAGTCAGTGGTAGTACTGCATTGTCAGTTGGAATGTTCTTCCTCAAATAACTATATAATCTAAGAAACAGTGTGATATCGCTCCACATAATTGCTATCAAATGACGTGAGCCACAATCAAAACTCTAAGAAGTGTTAAGGAATCCTGAAGTAGGAGGAAACCAATGCCCACAATTTATCATGATTGTTATTCTCTTGATTTTTCAGTAGCACATCTCCATTTTATTCTGTTCTCTTCAATATATTGTAGCTAGCTCCATTGTAACTGCAGAAGACAAGAGACCGACCTCTCAGCAACGTTCCCAGCACAACCGCCTCCACCGTCGGATTCTTGACACCCACCAACTCAGTAACAGCATCAGAGACCTACAATAGACTCCTCATGTCTCCTTCCTCGAAATCAGCCAGCCATAGAAATTTCATTGTTTGGAGGCAGCGAACCCAAGTATAACGAGAGAAGACAATAGAATTGGTAAAGGAATTTTCATTTACAATTCGGTATTCACATAGAGGGAAATTATGTATACCATATAGTAAGATCGTCATCTGCACAAATCTTCAATGTTGTGCTATTTCTGCCCTTAGTACTGTGTTTCTTTGTTTTATTTTCGTGTCTCCTATGTTTTGCCGCAACATTGGTTCGTTTCCTCTCTTTGACATTAAATCTATCTCTCCGCTATTTGATATTTTGGTGCCAATGACCATTTCTTTACATACTACTGATTAATCTTGTCAGCAGCACATGCAACATTGTGACAGACCATAAGGAATCACTTGAAGCCCTATCTTTCTTACTCCCTCTGTTAAATTTCAGGGCTTTCGCCTGAATATCTCCAAGTCCGTGTGAAATTAGAAACAGTGAGTTAGTTTCAACACAGAACTTTGCACAGAAATGCAGCAGTTCAACTTGCCACACTAAGTGCAAACAAAAGAGAGATTCAAAAATACTATAGTGAGTGGAAATGTGAGGAAGAACGAATAATAACCATGAAAAATAAGAGGGCTTAGAGGAGATGGGAGATCACTAAAAGTGAATGTGTCTGCGTCATTCAGAACGATTTTGAGCCATATCATTAACAGTCTCCAGTCATCCAAGGACTTCAATTACGTAGTCTACACCTCTCTGTGTGACTGGCTCAAACCAACTGTCACACACTTCATGGATTGATGCCAGGATGTGATTTGATCACCCCTAACATTTTTTCTAACCTAATCTTATGTCACCCAACATTGTCCGTCGGGGAGGAAGATAATTTGGCATGCGTAACGCATGTTGTAATCATCTCAATAAATTTAGATTCACATCTTAATCGACTGACTTACCCCCTTCGCCTAACTCTACGGTTAACCTCAAAATTGCTAACTGTATTATGCCATTTAAGACAGGAGATAGGACGTAAACATCTGTAGTCAAAGTCACCTGTTTTCAATGGCTATGTCTCACAGCCACAAAGGATGGCACAGAGACCTGCCGCCCAGTACACATCTCCTTTAATCGGTGACGTAAGTTGGTGAATGACACAGAAGCCTTTTACAACCATGCTGAGATGTCGTCAGAAACCAGTTCTACGAGATTATCTTACATTTGACAGGAGAGAATCGTATGCTTATATTCAAGGATTTCTGCTCCAGTTACTTTTGTTGGCGTCTTCACCTAGAAGGACAATATCGTCCACACAACAAGACTATGCTCTGATAACAACTGAATCCCCAAGTCACTGAAACCAGTTAGCATTAATCCCATTAGTAAATCTCCGATTAAATTAAACAAAAATGGGGATAGCGGGCATTCCATATGGACACCTCTGGTTGCCATCACTTCAGATGACGACTATTCGAGCTCTAGTAGATTGTCCAGGTTGGCACCATATAGTTTCTTAGCGTCCACCCCCCTTCACGGCTGAATATTGGCACAGCTCCTCTCCATCTACAGAATCAAATGCCGCATTCAGATCACGAAATATGGCAAGTGATGTCCCAGAATATGTCGAGGGGTGAAAAATATGACCAACACATTCTCTTTCGCTCCTGAAGACCATAAAGCCCAGATACTTTAGAGTCATCTTGTCGGTCTAACGTATGTCTA